ATAAGAAGAAAAACAGTGGAAAAGAAACAAACGAATAACAAAAAGGTCTTCCGCTGAAGACGAAAGACCTTAATAAAAGTGAAAAAGAAACCTAAGAATAACAAGAAGGTCTTCCGCTGAAGACGAAAGATTTTAATAAAAGTGAAAAAGAAACCTAAGAATAACAAGAAGGTCTTCCGCTGAAGACGGAAGACCTTAATAAGAAACAATAGAATCGCTATAAGGTCTTCCGTGAAGACGGAAGACCTTAAAAAATAATAAGAAGAAGAAACAGAGTAAAAACAATATGTTCCCCAACTTCGTTTGGGGAACATAATTAGTTTTTGACGTAAAAAGCTTACCGCGTTCAGATTATCAAGGAAAAAAATATCTTCAGCAATATGCAGTAAAAAGTAAATTATATATTAAAGTTTGTTTGGTGCATTTAAATATTTTTTGTATGCAATTAGGAATAAATGATGTTTTGATTAAGGCAGTCTTTTACACTATAAGTAGTTTTTAACACTGATATCTGTTGTATGTACGTGCCTTTCTAAAAGACTACCCGGTATTGCCTAATTGTTGATACAATACAAAAACAGATCCACCGCAGGTGTGTCTGGCTCCTGCCCTGCAGTTTAATTTTTCTGTTCACTTTTATGAATTTTGTTCTGTTTGTTTAATTTAGTCTACATACTAATCTACTTTATTTTTCTTTGTTTTACAAGCATCTCTAACTCATTATACAAGGTATCCATTTTCTTTGTGATGATGTACGCCTAGATTAGTGATATTTTTATGCGCAGCAATATTGTATGAGCCAAGTACAGGTATAAGATTTTTAAAACGAGAAAGAAATGGAAAGTATATGATAACTCGATTATCATATTAACTCATAACTCAATATGCTTAATGAACTATCATTTGTAAATGAAATTTCTATTACTGATGATTTTTTTTTCTTTTTTCTTTGTTGGGGAGTGGGGCGGGGGTAAATTAGATAATTATCAATAGGAGAGACGTTAATGATTTAGGTAATATCACCAAATAAAATATCACCAAATAAAGTATGTACGTCCTTAAAATCGTCATCTATAAATTCAGACCCTTTTATTATTGACAATCATTCAATCAATAGCGATTCGGCTTACAACTGCAACTGGTGTGTTGTATGGGAGTGGGGGGGGGGGGGGGTCAAAGCAAGAGTTTCAGGCCCGTAGGAAGCAATTTCAGTTAGTGGGCACAGCTATATATTTTCAGTTGGTGGTACTATCAATGACCAAAAATTCCTTGACAAGCATTAAAAAGGAGGGGGTATCAAGCGTTTTAATTAAAGGGACACGAGCATATATAGTAGTAATGTTTTCTATAGTATTACTGCCTGTTTTCTGTAGTATACTGTATGCTTTCTATGGTATTCTATATATCGGCAAAATAATGATAAGAAATTGTTCTACGACATTTTGAAGGGAAAACTGAAGTCTGTTAATTCAGGGAAAGACAAAATCAATTCATTCTATGAAGTAAAAATGTATACAATGTAGGTCATAAAGCTACTTTAATTCAATAGCACTACTTCCGATTTAAAATCTGGTACATTTTATTAACAGATAAAAATGATACAAAAAAATTATATGGTTGAAAATGTTCTCAAATCCTGAAAGATGATTTTTTTTTTACTTACATCTGTGTACATTTGTTATTATTTTCCTAGCCTTGAGTTTATTGCGAGAAAAAGAAAATACGTGACATTGAAATAGTGTCTAGCTGTTGTTAAACTATGGCAATGATATTATATCGGGAAATTGAATTGAATTGCATGCTTTATTTTGAGTGAATTGTTCATTAATTCAATTTTTTTTTTCGAGTCATGCAGGCATACGAAAATAATGACGTCGCACCAACGTAATATAACGTCGTGATGATAATATAATACTTCTGATGGAAAATTGTAAAACCTTGAAGATTTTTTGCAAGAAATTGAGCGAGAACACATATTATTTTTTTTTAATAAATCGATTCTAAATTTATTTTACATTCAATGCATCGAGTAATATAAAATTCGTCAACTTCGTTTTAATGTAATGACCATGGTTTTGAAATGCGTATACCGGCAGAAAAGGGGCATTTTACTATATATTTCATTGAAAAAAGCGTCACATGTTCTCGTCAACATTTGAATTACGATTACAATTTAACCACGCAGACGAATCTCAAAAAAAAAAAAAAAAAATGAGAAAGAAAAATTTAAAACGAGAGGAGTTAGCTGACAAATTTTAGCCTATGTTTTCAGGCAGATAGTAAACCCGCGATCTACCCTAAAAACTTTGGACAAAATTTAACCAAACCGGAAGTGATCTGGATCTTCGTCTGGGGCCAAGGTTTCGCGTCACAATCAGGTTAAAAGATTGTTATTTTGTCTCGAAACAATTTTAGATTCATTGAAACAAACAACTTCAGTGGTAAGAAAATGATGAGAAATTGGTGCATAGCAGTCCAATATCATCTCAATTAGTCCGAATCATCCTTAAAGCGGTACACTTACGTACTAAACGTCCAAGGATATTGACCAAAAGATATCTGTGTGACGAACTGCCAAATCCCGGAACTGAATACCGTTGAACACATCTGGAATTTTTATAAGGAATGTCAAAGCCCCCCCCCCCCCTCCATACAATTTCATCAGTTTGGAAAGATCCAAGCTGTAGGTGTGGCTGCAGATGGGTCAAACTCCTATTCAGGGGTACATGGCATCCATGAGAAGAGGATGTCTTGCAGTAATTAGAACGAGTGGTGGTCTTACTTCATAGATTTTATGTGAATTTTCGTTTGACGGTTCGTAATGTTCTTGACACTTTGCTTAAAATTCCCAGTAGACATTTACATAAAATTTACGCAATATCGAACTGAAATATGCAACATTAACCATGAATTAAAGAAATAATTTATTGTCTGCATTTGTTCTTTAAAACTTAGTAAGTGTTAGGTGAACACTTAAAAGTTTGGTTCAGTGTAGATAAACTGATACTAACCTCTGTAATATGTGTGATTATGGAGGCATAAATTATGTTGATCTACATGTGATGCAGTCGTATGGACAGAAGGTATAACCCCTGATCCACCAGAACTGTGGGAACTGTGTCCGCTGGAAACGTGGACTGTTTCGCCAAACAGTACCCGATCACATTCTACGTTTGTGCAGTAAAGTAAAACATATTAGTACCCTTTTAATCTTTTTGGAAAAAAGTGAGTTTTTCAGTAAGAAAATCTTGTACAGTAAATTTATGTAGATATTTTAAAATATAGTTATACGCAAATGAATACTTATGAGTTAATAATCATAAAAGATGTCGAAATGGATTTCAATAGTAAAAATGTAAAATAATATTTTATCTCTCTATTATTCTAAGCTCTCTGATTGACTGAATCTTGATCACATGATCAAGTATAATATAAAAGCATATAGACTTGTGTTACTTTTTATAGATTCTGAAAAACATATTGACCTCATGTTTCTAAAAAATGAAAAAAGTCTCTAAAATTACAAAAGTGCGGACTGAAAAGTTCTAATAGCTAATTTAACTTGATGTATCTGAAAAAATTCATCATTTTATAATAATGATGTTCTTTAATAATTGCTTGGATGTAACAATGCCTTGATTAAGAATCTTCTTCAGATTGAAATAAATCAGCATTGTTTTTCATAAATTATGATAAAACAAATATAGTCTCTGAAATTACAATTCCTAAATTACTCTATCAGTGAAAAGGAAACAATGATGATAGAAGCTTATTTTTTTTTTAATCTTAAGTCTGTGTTATAAAAGATGATAGAAAAAGAACTTATGGCTTGTGCATATTTGTTTTCCAAATTTGGTATTGTTAATTAAAAAAATACATAACAAAAAACCCTTTCATTCCGTCAATCCATAGATATATCGACTTCAGAAAATAGCATATCGATATGATTTCCTGTGAAGTCCATAAAATATTAAAGAATTCAAATAAATTGTGCTTCAGAGTTTAATCGGTCACAAGCTCTATGGTATAATGCATATCTTCGCTTTAAATACATTGTTTTGAATTATACTCACCCGGCCTGTGATCTATGACAGTATGGCTTGGTATGCCTTCGAAAACACATGTATTAAGATTCAGATACGTCCCAGGAGAACTTGGCCGGAGTAAATTCCCCTGTACATAACATCTAATGTCGACATAAGGACGCATGTCACCGGTACAGCATTCGGCCACTAAAATGAAAGACAGCAAACTATAGAAATATCAACTGGTTTCAAAAAATACGCCAGTAACGTATTTTTGACATCTAACACAGGCCGCGCCTAATACGATTGAACACGTGACAATTTAATAAACTGCCCAATTGAAATTGACTTGCTTAAATGACCATTTTATATGCGGTAATACTATTTCATGGACTCTTGTTTCTCATTTTCCTTGGCAATTATGAACTACCACCTGCAACTTGACCAAACTTACATGTAGTTGTTTACTTTGTAAAAGTGTAACGAACCTGCAATAAGAGCATGGTACGTTGTGTGTTTTTACATTACCAAAAGTTAAAACTCTTTGAGTATTTTTATCTTTTTACTCATATTTTTCTTTTTTAACATGTTATAAGTAGGGGTGTCAAAATTTTCAATAATTGATATTCGAATATTCGATAGGAGTATTTGAATATATTAGAATATTCGATAAAATAAATACATTTTGCATTGTAAAATATATATTTTCAATCTCCTTTCAACCAGTATACGTTTTATGTCATTATTTTGGAATAAATTTCACGTAGAGTCTTGGAAATGCAAAATAATAATATTTTTAAGATTTTACAGAATATATGAAGAGTATACATCCAAAATTTGATGAAAATTTATTTTTGAAAATTCAAAAGATTCGATCTTTAGTATGTTCCAGATTAACTGATTGTCTTACCAAAGTCTACACTAGTCTAATTACTCCTACAAATGTATACCTTTCTAAACAATCATCTATTGAAGAAAAATTAAAATCAATTAATTCTAGCTAATTAATTTCCTGATAATTATTTTAATGATATGTACATAAACAAGGGACCCATGTGTTTTCTGTAAAACTGTGTCCTTACAACATTACAAACTGATTGTACGTACTTGGCACTGTTATACCACTAATTAAATGATCAAAGAATAATTTATTCTAATAGTTACACTCTTCACACTTTTAAGGTAATCCAACAGGAGTGTCTTTTAATCTAAAAAAAAAAATCAAACCGTATTCCTATTATTCAACGGTACGAACTCGATTCAATTTCAAATAAAGCCTGCCAGATTTTTCTCTCCATTAAATGCTTGGATACTTTAAAACCGAATATTCGAATCATATATTTATATTCGAATATCAACTCATCGAATGGATATTCGAATATTCGTTGCTATCCCTAGTTATAAGTATTGTATGGGTTTGTGAAAATATCATATGATTTTAATTAAAATGAAATGATTAAAACACCTACGTGATATGTATAGAATCCAAATGGTAAGTATGAGGATACCAGATCCCATGGCCCGCCTCTCTAGATAATAGTAAGTAAGCTCAATTTTAAAAATAAAATAGAAAAGGTTGTTTTGTGTATTATGGTCACATGGCTTTGCACTGTCAAAGACATTATTGACGTAGAACTGAATGGACTAATGTTGTACCTTAATGAAAGATAAACATTTATTAGATCTATTTTTCAATCTGTCTTTACTGAATAAGTGCATTAGAATGTTTTATATCAGCTTAGTATAATATTTAGTATGTTATAATAAACTTTTTAGATAAAAAAGAGCTACACAGACTGTTCATTAAAATCATAGTTGATATACTGAAGCCTTACGTCACATGTACTTTTTATCCACCAATAAAGAAGTGCAATAATGTTCGTTAAAATAAATAATCTTAAATAAAATGCTCATAAAAAATGTTCATATTCAATCCAATTGCTCAAAGAATTAGTTTGTTCTATACTGTTATGTAATGATAGAATCCAAATTGACTATGTTATGTAGATTATTCTTAATATAGTATAAGTATTGCTTTTTAGCTTCATCTATGTGTATATTAACGAAAAGAGCTATAATTTTAAAATGATTTAAAGCATATTGGCTATTAAAGTTAGATCAAATTGCAGTGTATTTCATGCCCATTATAAAATTTTTTTTGGAAAAATATTTTGACAATTTGATATTCATTCAGTCGACTCGATATAATAAATATTGTCCCAGTGAATAAAAAACAAAATATACCACCGAGTCTGCAACACCTGATTTATATTTTGGTTTTTACTGACTATATATAGACAATTAAGGCAAAATGACACAAAATGTCTTCCGCTTTTCCGTCGACTTTCCTTATTTATGTAATAATATTCCACTAATTACCTGCTTATGGTGTTTATGTTTCCCCTTTTTAATTCTCAAGAACTTTCTCTGAGTACGATCAATCTTAAAGCAAAGCATGCTATTCACTGATAAGTTGATGTTACAGGGATTTTACAACCTCGTTCCATTTTGGCATTTCGTTTATTCTACAGTAATGTAAATATAACCTAATCATGGAGTCGAATTACGACTGACGTGCTTCAAACTTAGCGCAAGGCCTTTGTTTTATACTTAATTAACAAAGGAATGTATCTGATCAACACATAAGGCTCACATGATGTGAGCGAAGTGACTGGTCAACAGGGTATGCTTGCTCCTTCTAGGCACCTGATTCCACCTCTGGGATTTCCAAAGGTCCTTGATTCATGCGCTTTTCAAAAATTTGTTTATAGATTTTTTTTTAGATTGATCATCTTCACTTTCTATATAATAAAAATGAACTTTATAAATTTTAAGATATATTTTGAAAGGATTAAATATCTAAAGATTAAACAATCAACATTTATCGGATGGATAGTTGCGAACTTCTCTGGGCATCAGTCGATTCTTGTTGTCGAAAAAAGTCATATTGCATAAAATTTTCTCGAGATGCAAAAGGATGATTCAATTAACTCCTTGGCAATATAACTTGAATAGTAAATCTTGTTGACGTGCCGATATTTCTATGTTGATGAACAACAACACATGCTATTAAATGGTATACAGAAAGGGACAATGTAACATTTTAATAAATAGATACCGTCAATCGATTTAATAATATTACTGTTGATTTATTTCAATGAAAAGCTTCATTTAATTAAATCAAATTGATATATTGCTAAAGTGCATTAACCAGTACCTCAAAGCAACATTGATTTATTGCTAACATTGTTTTAGAGATTTTTTGACAGCTAAAACAACATAAAATGCAACAGTTTTAATGAGGAAATTGACTTTGCCAAAGATCTTAATTAAGCTATTGATAATTTTGTTATCTACGAAATTCAAAAGTAAGGTACGTACTGTCTGGGCGCTTTTCTAAAGTGTCCGATATGAACTGAAGATAAGGACACAAAGAAATATGGAGATACAACTTTGTAGCTGTACTTAATTCCACTCGATGATCCAGAAACATGAATATATAGCTATTGTGTGTTATCTTCTTATCAACTAGCTTTTACGATTCTTGGAAACCAATGCATTTTGTTCATAAAAAGACTGTGGTGCTTAATTCTTGTAAACGTTGCAATTGGTGACTTAAATGTAGGAAAGTTTACTTTTAGAAAATGTTCGATTTCATAATATGGAACCAATAATTATAGAAATTAAAGAAATATTTTCCTTCATGTCAAAATGGCACGTGCTATATATAGATAAAGCGTTATATGTGAGATACGTGCATTTACTATTGTAAGGACAAATTGTTGACCTTCACAAAAGAACCGCGTCTCGTAGATCATATAGCTAGGCATGTGTTTCTAAAAGAACACTTAACGACTCTAGTTTAAATTGAATGATATATTGTTAAATACAAAATACTTTTTGTTTTATTTTAAAACAAATAAAATTTCTTACTGTTGGAAGTGAAAGAGATAATGAAGTATTAGTTAATGAAATACAGGTACCTTTTATACATCAGATGTAGCTTTGATCTTTTACAAAAGAATTGTAAAGGGTGGCATCTTTACTGAGTAGTATATATGGCATGAGTAAAAATATAAGCAAAGAGATGCTCCTTTTCACTCATAGTTCATGTGTTACCATGAACAATGGCGCCAGACTAAATATGGGTCAGTGGTGTCAATTTCAACCTCAGAAAAAATAATGTTATAAAGCAAGAGAAAAGATATCATGGTATGTCTATAGCCTTATGTATGTTTCATGTTATCAAGAAAACGTTTGAACTTTTAAGATGATAAGGAATACGGACAGATCAGCCCGACAACCTGAGATAACTCGCCTTAAATTCAGTGCAATATAAATATAAACAATATTGGATTTAATTATGCAAAATAATTCGTTTTGATTATCAACATTAAATAAAGTGTGCACATAACCGTTACTGCGAGTTTCTAGCAACTTTACCTACATATAATTATGTACCGAGAAAAAAACTTAAAACATACTTAAAACAACATATACATGAATAGTACGGGTGTGACCGATCATCGAAGGAATGCTTTCTCCTCCATGGCACCTGATCGCGCCTCTGATGACTCCCAGTTTGTATTACATGTATTTCAAGGAATTTTAAAGTCGATTACCATTTGTTGTCTTCAAATTGCGTTCTCTTTCACAAACATTTCGTTTAAACGTTGATCATGTACATCCTGAGAGAGGGACTGGTGTTGTTTTTACTGTTAATAAACATGGATAAATTCAATTGTTATGCCACCGCTTTTTAAGATTTGGGGACACCTTTTATGATCTATCTTCCGGCTCTTTATTTTGTCCGCAAACCTGTAACTTTTGAGGACTTGCATATTTGAATGGGAATTCATTTTCACTTGGTATTTACTTTTGGTACAAACACATTTTACCTCTTAATCATGGAGTTTGATCTAATTTTTTTTTCTAATTTCAATCTTGACCAACTTAAAAGCAACTGAAGTTAAGGTTTCAATATTTGATATGTGTTCCATGTGATGAAAACTTTCCTAGGCTGAATTGTGTGATAAGACCTACCTTTGGAAAAATCCTCATAATCAGAATGAGGTTTTTTTCCTTTCATTATTTCAATAAATGATATGAAGGTCAAGATCTAGTAAATGAGAGGTGCCTACAGACATATCAGATAAAAGTAAATTTCTTAATTGATGCTGAGCTTGGTCAAATAAGGTGTTTCGAGGCATACTTTGTAGGTGAACAAGATGAAAAATCATACTTTAAACTGTCATTTCCAATGAAAAATTAAGAAAACCAGTCAAGAAAATGGGAGTTTTTTTTTCCCATATCAGACAGAGAATATGTATCCAGATTGCCTACAGTCTTTCAGAAAACAGTAATTTATATGTTCTTGGCCTCTTCTTTAAAATAATGTGAAATTTAATGTAGGTATCAGGACAACTTTTCATATGATTTCAAATTGAATTCCACGAAGAAACTTCATTTTCTTCATAATTCTATTAAATCTGTTAAGTACGGAAAAAAGAAAGTATATTGAAAGTGATTATGACGCCATAATGGTTCTAGCACCAAAGAGTTAGTCTGAAGACTAGATCTTGACCTTAACAATTACAGATGCCCTAGGTTTCTATCTGTTTTGCAATTATAAAGGACATACTAAAATGTTAGGGGAAAATTACTACGTACATAGTAATGTTTGTGAAACACAGTTGTTCCTTTATGGTACACTGTAGCTCTTGGAAAGGTTTAAGTTTCTCAAATGCAATCAAATCCCAATTTGAAGAGATTCAAAATGTTGATACCAAAAGGGCGTTTTTGGCGGAAAGAAACTTATTCAAGTACTACGCTAAATGTCTTACACATATTAATAAGAAAAAAAAAAGAAATGCGCTAAATCAAATCGACGCTAACTTGTACAAAAATCAATTTCCGCCAAATATCATACACGCTAAATATAATACATTTACAGTATACTTTTTTGGCAAACGCCCAAATTGCTATTTATACTTTCTTTGCAAAAACGAAATTACTTTCATTGCAAAATTCCATAATATAATTTAGACTTCTATGCAAAAGCTCAAATTGTAATACATAGTTTCTTTGCAAAAGTCCAGATTGTAATATATACTTCTTTTGCACAAGACCAATTTCTTTTGGAAACAGGGATTATTAGAATGTATGAATTCCCGACCTTCACCTTTTATTTTTTGAGAGAATGCATTTTCATTGATTTCAACGACCTGCATATTTTATTTACAGCAGAAACAACAGAACTACACTCTATATCCCAAGATATTTTCTAAGACACTCTCTATCATCACAGCAGTAGATTTCTGAGTTGCGTAAAAATGTGGTCATGAAGTGACAGTCTTGACTCTGTAATGAAATTACAAGTTAGTTTATATCAATAATCGCAAATTATTTACTACATAACACACTTACGAAACTTACGTAATTCATAAATAATATAATTTAATAATAACTGTTAAGCAAAGAGTGACTTACTGGAATACAATGTACAGTGAATTGAAATCCGTGGCCCGTTGCAGCCCTCACCATGCATGATTCTGATCCTGAGCAGGTCTGGTTCCAAACACAGTGTAGGTTTTCGTCGCAAGATGGACAAATCAGAAAGGGGAACATGCTAAGTTTATTTATTGATTATATGCATATCATTCCCCTAACTTAACAGGACTGAACTAGACAGAAATGATGTTTCTTTCGCCTGGATCGATAGATCGGGGCGCATATTATTTCTTCTGTCTGACTGTCTGTCTGTCAACTTTAACCTTCACCTTTTAACCATGAGATATAGCTAAGGGATTTCATATTTGGTGTGCATACTCCACTAATGAATTAAGCTCTTTCAAATGAAATCAAGGTCAATGATCTTGTGACCTTGACTGTGATCTATATGCTAAAAATAGCTTTTCGAACCTTCGCTATAACATTTGAACCATGAAAATCTTACATCCAGATTGGCCAGTATTTTGTAGGGCTGATGCAACTCCAAGTGTACTGTAACTGCTAGACTGAGTGTAGAACCCTCTCTTGTTAATTTGTGTTGCTTTGATTGTTGTAGTTAATGTAGATCTTATATATATTTTTAGATAATACTCGAACAAGATAAGGTAGAAATGCTATGATAGTACTCTAACAATATACATTTGTAGATGATGTACATGTAGGTTCTGGTTCTGTTTGGATAGTTTTCTCCATCATATTTAGCAAGCTATTTACTACTTTGTTAAAGGCTTTGTTCATCCACCTGTTTGAGAATGGGGTATATGGCTGCTTCCGTTAGCGTATGTAGTTTCAGCAAATTCTGTTCATTGCAGGTGTACTGGTTAACAAATTCAGTTGAATTCGGAGCTGCAATATCAATACTGATGTGTAGTTTCGAACAAGTTGTGCATATCTTGCTTGGTTGCAGACAGGTGCATCTGCTTTTACTTATTTATCTGTTGTACATGTACAGACAATAGATTCTGTTAAGTTACTGAAGCATTTTGAAGACAACCGATTCTGCCATATGTTGTTGCACAGTTGTTGTAAATTTAATTTGTTGCAGACATTTGTTCTGCATGTAATATATGTGCTATTTCAGCAATTTTTGACACAGTTTGTGTAGTTGAATATTTAAAGTTAGGCTAGGTATGGGGTTTAAGCTCGAAGCTGAGTTTTAGCCAGGCGCCCCATTACTGAAATTTGAACATTTGCAACAGTAACCTGGAATTGCAAACAGGGGGTTGTTGCAATTGCAAAGAATTTCTTTTAAACTACCACTAATGGAAGAAGAGCATTTTAGCATCACTAGTGGCGGTGGCTATATTTGTACTTAACTAGGTGGCTCAGTTTTTCAGTCGCACCAGTATCGCCAGGGGTACTGTGGGATCATTTTATGAGTGAACATAATCAATTTGTAGAAATTTTCAGCTTATGAATCATTGATAATTTTGTCATCAACTGTCTGTTTGTCAGTTGAACATCTGATCCCAGGGTTCAGCTGTTAACAGTTCATTAATTAATACAGTAATGGCCTATTCTGTCAACGAGCAAGTTAAATCATATTGCATGAATTTGTATATTTGTCAAAAGTTGTTTGCCTGTATTAAATTTTATAAGTAAAATTTGGTGTTTGGCTTCTCTGATAATTACCTATAAATTTCACTAGTGCAAGGGCAGTGCGGAGTTTAGAACATTCAGTTGATTGACCTATTCCAACGAACAAAACTTAATATTTAGAAATTCGATTGTCTTAATTCTAAACGATCAAAATAAAAAAAAATAGAAGAAAAAGTTCGTCGTGTGATTGCTTATTAAACATCCGGACTAATTATGAATCTGCTTAAATTGTTGGCGTTGAAGACGTAATTGTGGGATAATTATTTGTTGGTGTTTCTGTTGATGCGATGATTGTTGTGTGTTTACTTGTGGTTGAAGTTACGGTCGGTGTTGTTGAAGTAATTGTTGTTGTTGTCGATGGTGAGTTTGTTGTTGTGGGTTGAGTGGTGGTTATTGTTGTTGAAGGTGATGAAGTTGTTGTTGCGGATGTTGTCGTCGTTATAGTTGCTGTTGAAGGTTGTGTTGCAGCCTTTGTTGTCTTTGTAGTCGTAGAAACTTGTAAATAAAGCACAAAGAATTTTTTTTCATTCCGTAAAAATATTTCCTTAAAAATCCATACTGAAAAACAAATTATATTTAGCAGCTTTCAGTCTCCTAAAGAAGTTTCATATGGCATTAAAACTCTATAGCAATTCTATGGGATAAAGATTAATAATAAGCATATATGAATATTTATTACTTAAATACGGTATTATTTATAATTACAAAAACGAAACAAGAGGCCCATGGGCCTTATAGGTCACCTGAGCATCATGCAAAAACTTTCCAATGATTGAATTTGGTTTATGTTTTAAACTAGACGCCTTGGCATTCAAAATCTTTAAAGAGGCGCCATTGCTAATCATATCTATTCACTTAGCAATTGCTTAGGTTGATACTTAATACCCATATGCAGGGTAGGGGAACAAAAAATATATTTCGACTAATCAGTAATATTCAGCATTAATCAGTAGCTCCCTACCCCACATGATCCCCTAACCCTAAGTCCATCATTTTACAATTTGGAAAAGACACCCTTGTTTATCAAAAAATATCAAAAACAATGAATTCATTTTCAGAATACAGGTAGTGCCCTCCTCTATAGCTAGGGCAAGGGTTCCATAAATAGAGCAGAGAAGATTTTCAAATAAATTCTGCATTTTCTCTATATAATCATAAGAGCCCCGTCCTAAGACCATTACCTCTGACCCTGAGCTATAGAATTAACAATTTTGGAAGAGGGATTGTTGCTCGTCATAACTATGTACTTAGTTAGTTTAATTAATACCCTGGGGCAGAGAAAAAGTTTTTCAAAGAGTTAATGTATTTTCACTATACAATCAATAGAAGTCCCCGCCCTAACACCAGAACCCCTGACTCACGGGCCATGAAATTTACAATTTTGGAAGAGGCATTGTTGTTCATCATAACTAGTGTATATGAAGTTTTACCATTTGAGTTTTTTCCTTAAATACAAAATATGTTTGTTCTTAGTATACGCTGTAGTATCTTCGGATACTACATGCCTAAATTAAATATTTCTGTGATTGAGTCTGCCTAAATTTGGGTATTTGTTAGAACAGGAGGAAATTCAGCTTGTGATAAAATAAATGACTTTTTTTTCAATAACGAATACAAAAACATGATAGTGTTACTCATGTTCACCCTTTAAAAGTTCGAGTTTAGGGAATGTGCTAATAAAAGACAGAACATTTATTAGATAGGTAAAAATATACAGGAAAATTATCTCAGGAAGTGTAATATTAGAGAGATTTAGCAAGCTCACTTGTACGTGTACATGTACGTGTAAACTACAAGTTAGAATTACACGTACACGTTAACATTATTTTTCTTGCTTAGCAAAGTATAACTTGTACATGTACTTGTAAGTGTTTTAAATGTAAAAGCGTTTTACATAAAAAAAAATTCATCCGAAAAAGCAATAAATATAAATTTTAATACGTATATCACCGTTTTACATAAATATATGCATGTACTTATGAGAAGAAGATTGTACAGAGCTCTTATATTTTTAATCGGTCAAGGTACGTTTCGAAAATCTAGATGTTGTGATTTTAACTCCCTATAATTTTATATTTTTCAATTAGTGACGTTCGTTTTTTTTTTTATCAGTAATTTCATTAAATATTCAGGTTTTAGAAAAACGCCCATTTTTTGAAAAATAAACAGCAGTTCAAGAATTATAAGCTACAAGATTGGACTAACTTGTACTTGGCAATCTACAAGTAACCTGCGTAAGAGGATACGTGTAGATTCGTCATTAACAAAAGTGATGACGTAATGCACAGATTTCTGGTGCTACACGTACACGTACGCGTACACGTAGGTTTGCTAAACCTCTCTATTATATGAAAGGATAAATGCCTAAAATAAATCATAGAATATCAAAATTATTTTAATATTAATTACTGAACTCTATGTGTAAAATTAATTAAAAATACAAACAAAAACGTTAACCCGAAATCATGCTTGATGTGGGAGATGTTAACGACGATTTGGCGATATGCCAGCCATATTGAAGAGATAAGGAATACAGAAATACTAGGATTCTGTAATTGTTTTAAATTCAAACTGAACCAGATAAAATTTTCTATTAATGAATGAATCTAAACCTAATCTTAAATGCTCCTTTAAATTACGCAAATTTTCAAGATAATTATTTTTTTAAAATGACATTATATTTGAATTCTACATTTTTCGTAACATAAATAAATAGGCCTACAAACTCAACAGAAAACACACAATATAATCAATGTAATTCATACTTATCTATTTTGCAAGAAACATATTTTTTAATTTTTGTTTTAAACACTCTCATAAGAAAATATGATATATAATATTTACCCTGGATAGAACTTTGGCAGGCGTGATAACAGTTTGGATCATGATTATGCTCATAAGCAACTGAAATAAATCTTATTAAAATTCTATCATAAATTTAAATCCAACGGCATAGTTTTACAGTTAATAATATAACATTTGGGTGTAACTTTGTTGATACTTTGATAAAAAGTTATGTACTGTGAAATCACAAAAATGTTTGTGGCGATTATTTTTCGTTGTTTTCGAGGTATGAAGAGACCCGTGAATTTATGTCAACCACGAAATGAAAAATGTTACATACATAATTATTAAAAAATTCTCCATCCACGAAATGAAATCCCCAAAGGCCATGAACCAAAAGTTTTTCTTTAAAACCACGTAAATTTGACCCCACGAAATATGTGATTTTACAGTACTTCGTGTTAGTACAGTTTTACAAAATTAGACGTATCCAAGCAAATATTTACTGCAATCAAAATTGAGACCCTGCGTTATAAATAGTTATATTTCTCTCTGATGTGTTATTAATACCGTGCATATGAGAGATAAAATCATCTAAGCATCGGGTGTTCATCTTGCTCAGGCGGAGAAGATCTTCCCATACTGAAAAAAGCAATATGATTGAGTCAGAATGAAAAAATATACATTTTTACTTAACATTATTCAAAAAGCTTATAGTCAATAATTCGTCAATAAAAACATTTCAAATCCAATAAAACACGAAGAAAGAGCAAAATGCAACAGATAAGGAGACAAAAGCTTTGATTTAAATTGTTTGAGCCGTTTACAGTTACTTACTTAATCTAAAATTTAATCTACATTAAATGTACATTTTCATGAATCTAAAAATTTAAATTACATGTACATAAGACATTTTTCAATTACGTTTCAATGCCTAAAGAAAATGTAAACCCACCTTTATTACGAGTCTGGCACTGTATGGTTGTACCAGTGTGAGGGAAAGGTAGATTAGTGAGGTACGTGTTCAATATAGGTACGAAATAATATATGTGTTATGGACTCTTTCCATGGTGAATATAATTTGGTATTCACAAGAAATATATCAACATTAAACGAGGCTATTTATAGACTATATAATAAAATAAATTGATTATTTGTTTTAGTGATTAAAGGAAAACTCTTAAAATTTTTCCATAAGATACTCTTAAATACCTTGGAAGTGATGGTCTTGTCTACAACTTGCGTCATAAATATCTGTCAAAAAGAAATCAAATTCACGAATTTTAAATTTCAGAACAATTATTTAAATTGGAAGGAAAATTTTTTTGAAAAATTATTCCATTGTTTTACAGAAGAAAAAAAATTCTTAGCATGGAATTGAGACTTTTTTTTTATATGTATGAGGCACAAAATCATTGTGTTTAACTTTTAAATAGAGTCATTAATTATTTAAGTTTGAAAACTTCAAATACTCGATGATTAAGCTCTTTTTCTGCTTTAACCACGATACTTGACCCCACGAAAATGAGTGATTTTACAGTGAAAAGGCTGTAAGATAACGAAAACCACGCTATAATATTGATACATTACTATTATAGTCAAATTCCGCAACGTTTTCAGTCGTATTTGTCACCGATTTTACCAGAAAACATGCCTGCTTTTTATGGTGCAAGTCATGGTCGGTTTAAGAATTAGCATGTGTACTTCTTATCATGTAGATTAAAGTAATCTTTTCTACTGCATATTCGACAATCCTACTTCAATGCAGATTAAAAGCTATTTCAATCATTAATTTATGCACACGCGTGAGAGAAGCTGAGGCCCAGCCTTTCTTGAAATCTAATGCAATATCTTGTTACTATATATGTTAATCAAAGTATTGAAAGAACTGAATGCGGGGCTTTAATTGCTCGAGTATATTGTCTGATCCGAAATTAGTACATATTTAATTTATTTCCTTTTTGTTATTGATTTTAGTTAGGGTTAGTATTTGTATGATTATGATTTAAATGATATTTTATAGACATTCTTTTAGTTTCAAACAAGCAGTACTTTTATCGCCAACTACATGTAGAAACACGGATACTTGTACATTGTCAAGCGACTTCACGCATGTTAATTCTTAAAATTCCAATCACTTTACTATTAAGGTAGGACCTATGTCGGAAAAGTCTTTGTCACAAGATTTTCAAACTTTTCAAAATAATAAATAAGTACTTGCTTATCAATCAGTTAAAAGCTCGTGATATGTTTCCTTATTTTTAAATCTAGTGCAGCCTGTAAAACTTTGGGATGGTAATTAAATACTGCAACTACACATTTTTAGTTTTTTTAAGGGTACTTGTCAAGAACAGAATATGAAAAATCACAAAGATACTTCTTCAAACATAGTCGTTTATCGACTTTATTAACTGAACGGTATAAAGCAATATTTCTCACGAATAATTTCTTTTTTATTCTATTCACATAAAAGATAAGTCCACATTTAAAAAAATAAACTAATGAACTTTATCTTTTAGTCAATTTTCCACCCAACATTTGTAAATATTTTTCAGTAGTCTTTTTTACAATGTTTTTAATCTTTAAAATGATGAAGAACATACCCAAATGATTACAAAAAGTGATTAAAATATATACCTTCGTCGCCAACTTATGAGAGAAATAGGTTATTAACCGATACTAATATTCTTTTTGCACTTACACGGGATTGAATTATTACATGTAAATGACTGTTTGGGGTTACTTCCAGATTAAAAATCTTACCGTTAATCAAAAATTGTACTTTTTTATTTAAAAAGATCATATTTGATAGAAAAATTGTAATCAAACACCAACTATTAAGAATATATATGAATAAGTAACAAATAATTATGAGACGGAATGCACATTATTTCATGATAGATATCACAACACGTACACCTTTGACTTAGACACATTTCATCAAGATGCTGTATAGTTGGCAACTGAATTTTTTGTAAGGATTTTTGCATTCTTTCAAAATAGTTACATACCATTCACATATCTCAATACGTAACATATACATGTACAAATGTAATTTCATTACAGGAGATAGTATTGGATTTGTCAACTTAATAAATGTCAAGATCTACTGATCTACATGTAGTAAATGAAAGAAAGCTTTAAAACCAAAAAATAAATAAACTGAATTAACATTATTTAGGAATGATTTTAAATTGAATTCTGTGAATTTCAAAATGCTTTATTTCTACAATTTAAGTGAAGTGTAAACATGGTAAAGTACGGGGGAAAGTGACATTTAATTAACTATGACGTCATAATGGATCTAGCACAGGCTAAACACAATCACTACTAGTTATGATGTCATACGATGTAGGTTCTGCGTTAATTTACTAAAATCATAAGAAATATCACCACTAACATAACATCCATGAGAATGATATGAAACTCTTCAACAATTTCAACAATCAAAAAGCCCGCGCTGTTGAAAAAAGTTCGCTTGTCTTACAATATGCATTCAGTAGCGTATGTGCACAGCGTATGTGCACAATTTGTTATATATATCACCATTATCCCAAAAAGATATCTACTGTATTACTCTTTCAGTTTAATTCTCAAGAAAAAATATTGATCATTAACTTTTCTAACGATTGGGATGTTAAAAATATTTGTTTGAATATCGTCTTGCAATGGGATTTTTTTGTTTATCGAAAGCGTCTGCTTTGAGGTTGTTGGTTTTTTGTTTACTGTGCTATTTATAGTAAGAAAGTCGATCATGATGCCTATAGCCAGGACTTTGCTTTCAGCAACGCCCGGTTAAAAATGTAAAAATTGATAAAATTCCTTAAATGTAAAGGTACCAATTATTATAGTCTAAAGAAACGTTTCCTCCCAACCTGATAAACGCATTCAATGGTGGAACAGGAATTGTGGATAAAGGATGGCTTTACCAAAGTAGGATGGAAACAATCAAAAAGATGGAAGAACGAACACCTCAACAACATAATTTGCTCCGCCCACTTTCAAGAGGTAAAAATCGATTCAACTTAAGGTAGGATTCTTCTTTGGTTTCTGACTTATAGATGAAATATTCAAAGTATATTTTAAATACTTGCCTCTCAAAATTATTATAGAACAATGAATTTAATTATTACTTTTACACAATCAAAAACTCGAAGAAATTTTCAAATGTAAGTTTAATTAATAGCAAGGGACTAAAGTTTTAAAATATATGAAATGAATTAAATTTTTCAAACAAACTAGAACTATGTTGGTTTTTAAATGCTTCAAATCTAAGTACAGTTTTGAGCCAAAATTCCGTAAAATGTGGTTATTTCTCTTTTAGTAAACGATCAAAACATTTTGCTTTTATATCATTTTGTATCTTTATGTGACAACTTAACTAATGGGGTATATGTGAAAATGAGAAAAATTTAAAAATAGGAAGCATATGAAAATAAATAATATATCCAAAAAAATTAAGAAAGGTAGAGAAAATTCGGATAAGTCAATATCCATGTTAGTGAAACTATTTATGTCAGTTTGGTAATATCATCTTATAAGCCCAATATGGTAGTAGCTTTTTATGCAAGAAGAAAAACATTCAATCTTTTGAAATACAAGTGGGGATCACATATAATTGGAAACAGTAGTTTTTTATTCTTAATGTCCAAGGAAAAGGTAGTGACCTTGACCTGACCTTGTTCCTAATATAAAACGGTCAAATTTAATCTTAGTGATACCACCACTTAGTGACATTGTCCTCTTGATTTTGTGAACATTTCATTAATTTTTAAATACAGAAAATTTGAGGAAAATCCAACCTTGATGAAGTAAGTACTTTAGTTAATGTTTTGTCTCGTTTAAACTTACAAGTTTTCTGGTATGGATAATAGATATGTCTACTTGAACATGTACAGCTGGGTAGATTAAGACCTGGAAAGAAAAGATACGATTTCAAATCTTATGATATATAACTATTAAAGGAATTTCAAAAGTGTACAACTCTGAAATCTTATAATTGAAATAAAGTATACTATGGTTTATTTGAAACTCTGAAATCTTATAATTAAAATAAAGTACATGTATATATGAATACTATTAGACTTATTAGACTGAAAGCTAGAAGACATTGGTCGTACACAGTTGTGAACTTTTGAGTTCTGAAATTAAGCATAGCGATAGGTACTTACTAGCCATTTTCTTCACTAATGTTGACGCACAAATATGATCCGTTCGTCGCAGGTAATCCAATTGTCTAAACACTAAAAGAAAGTTACGATTAGAAAGAACAAAAAAGCAAAATAGGTTTTATGCTTGTGAAAAAGTTTTATAATTTCTAAAAAAAAAAAAATTAAGTGATGCTTTTCAAGTTAATATAAATCAGTACGTTCACAATGATTAAATAAATTATCTTCTACAATTGTCCATTTTTTGGTCATATATGTATGCATTTTAAAGCAATCTATATACTACCCGAATAAGATGAAAGACAGTTGTCCCTTTCTGCATTCCTAAAAATATCTGAAAATATGAGAAGCATATTTCAAACAACAAAATTTAAAGATGAAAACAGCGGCAGTGAGTAATTGTCAATATCCGTGGGTTATATCCCAATTGCAACTGAGCATTTTGTGGGAGAAAAATTCCAATGGTAAAATCATCCCACCCGACACTTTTTCTCCCATAGGAGAAAGGTAAAATAGTTGAAAGAACTACACATCTCAATTTTACTATGGGGTTCTGACTTTAATAACTCTATATTCTTTAAATGTAGAAATGTTTGTGAGTTCTTCATAAGATATAGACCCAGTGATATTGTTAAGAAATATCATCAAGTGTTATAAACTTTTTAGGGCATCTCAAACAGAAATGATGGTAAAAAGTCTGGACAAAATCATGTACGGGGTTAAATGTCGCACTGTCTGCAATTTTTTAAATCATACCTCAAATGTTTATTGGGCTCTGTGTTTGCTCTATTAAAATCCCAGTCTGAACTGGACTTTTAACTAGAATACATGAAGTTTGTTATCTACTTATTTCAATGATATATGCTAATATATATGTATCTTTTAACATCATTGCTTTAAACACCATTTACATGCTAACCAGCTTTTAATTTTCAATTTCAGTATCTCTCTTTAATGACTTGTACATTTTGATATCCAGAGAACTTATGTATTCTTTCTACTAATTTTTGTTTCAAGCTATAATGTCGGTTATGAATAGATTGTCTAAAGTAATTATAAGAGAGAAAAATCTGCTTTGTAAGGAATGTAATTTAAACATAAGAAATTTTTTTGGTTTTAAAAGTACATTATTATTGAAAAATTTCTTTTGATTAATAATGTCCCGCAAAATATTTTGGATTGATTGTGCAACACTTTATTACTCTTCTTATATAGATAAACCGAACAAACCTCGGTAATATGTGTGATTATGGAGGCATAAATCATGATGATGTACATTTGATGCAGTCGTATGGACAGCAGGATTAACCCCTGATCCACCAGAGCTGTGGGGAGTGTGTCCGCTGGAGACGTGGACTGTTTCGCCAAACATCGCTCGATTACATTCTACGTTTGAGGAGTAAAGTAAAACATACGTCAAGTAACTTTAAATTTCTTTTTGAAAGAGTGATTTTTTTCAGCAAGAAAATCATGTACTGGAAATGTATATACATTTTAATATAATATTACAGAAAGGAATACTTATGAGATAATAACTATATAAGATGTCGAAATAGATTTCAACAGTAAAAATATCAAATATATATATATCATATCTCTCTAATAAATTAAGCTATCTGATTGGCTGAAACTTGATCACATGATCAAGTACATAACAGCATAGTGGCTCCTGTAACTATTCATAAATTCTAACAAGCATATTGCCCTCATGTCTCTAAAAATATAAAAAATTTCTAAAATTACAAAAGTGATGCCTTAACAGTTCAAAATGCTAATATAACTTGACGTTTCTGAAAAACAATTCATCTTTTTTTACAATGATGTTCTGTAATAATTGTTTGGATGACACGACTTGAATAAGAATCCTTTTCATATTAAAATCAATCAAACGTTTTTTATCAGTTATGATAAAAAAAAAGTATAATCTCTGAAATTACGTTCCTAAGTTACTCTATCAGTGAAAAGGACACAATAAAGATAGAAGTTTAATTTTTTGTGTTACTGAAGATGACAGAGAAAACTTATGGCTTGTCCATATTATTTTTCAAATTTGGTATTTTAATCTCTTTATTAAATATAATTATACGTAACAAATGTAGCCTTTTCATTCCTTCAATCCATAGATACATAGACTTCAGAAAAAAAGCATATCGATATGCTTTCCTGTGAAGTCCATATATATTGGACCGACCTCGTGATATATAGCCGAGCGGTCGAACGCGCTATTCCTGTACTGCTAGGAGACAGAATCCGTAGGTCGTGAGTTCAACTCTGGGCTGGGGCGGAAGTGAATATACTTATAAATATGAATTTCTTTGTACTTTATAATGCGTAATTTCACTTTAAATGTACATTGTTTTGAATTATTCTCACCCGGCCTCCGATCTATGAAAGTATGACTTGGTATGCTTTCTAAAACACATGTAATAGGATTCAGATATGTCCCAGGAGGACATGGCCTGAGAAAATTCTGGTTCCCCTGTACATATACATAACATCTAATGTCGACATAAGGACGAATGTTACCGGTACAACATTCAGCCACTAAAAATGAAAGACAACAAGCTATAGAAATATTAGCTGGTAAAAAAAAAAGCCAGTAACTTGTTTACTTTTTAACGTGTAATGAACCTTAAATGGTACGTAGTGTACTTTTACATTATTGACAGTTAATACCATTTTGTATTTTTAAAACTCCTTTTAATATTTTGCTCTTTTGACATGTTTTAATATTATATGGGTAAGTGAAAATATTATAGAATATGATTTTATTTTGAAAAAAAACTTAAACACCTACGTGATATGTATAGAATCCATATAGTAAGAATCAGGATGCGAGGTCCCATGGTCCGCATGTCTAGATAATAGTAAGCATGCTCAATTTCAAAAATAAAATAGTAATGGTGTTTTGTGTAATATAATCACATGGTTTTGCACTGCCAAAGACATTATTGACGTAAGTAGTATAAGACGCCTAGATGGCGAGGTCAACTGAGTGCACTTTTGGGTCTGGGGGGATAGCCCGGTCAACTGAGTGCAGCCCCTGGGGAGGATAGCCGGTTCAACTGAGTGCAGCCCCTGGGGGGATAGGTGGGTCAATAGAGTGCAGATTAGGGGGTCTGTGGGGGATAGCCGGGTCAATTCAGTACATATAATCCCCCTAAATACGGGGGTCTGTTTACACTGTGTTTACATTATACTATATACGCTGCTGCTACTACGATTTTGGCAGCGACTTTTATACCTGTTGCATCATCTGTGGGGGCCCTGTACAAAAAATACGATAGACCTACGTTTTTTTTTTTATGCTGACTACACAGGTAAATAGTTGGCAGCGATTCAAGTTTGTTTAGGGCCGTGTGCAAAAAATATGCTTACCTATGCATTGTGACGTCATCCACTGTATAAATACGGCTTTTCTCCTACTTT